CCACTTTTGTAATTGGGGATGCGATCCGTTGTGGTCGGGTTGCGGAAAATTATAATCCCTACTCTTCCGATAGGTTGTCTCATGAGATGGATACTGAGGAATGACAGTTCTCCATCTTCTTCTCATGTGAATTTTACGTACATAACTGCAGCAATGTAGTAAAGGCATCCTGGGTTGATTCGCCAACAGTAGCCACTGATTGGCTAGGTTTCATTTATTCAGTTTCGCCTAGACTTTAGATCTAGCTTAGACCATTGGTTAAGTAGTGGATACCGAATTTGAAAAATAAGATTAGGAGTGCATCACTGCAAATAAGGACCAGGATGAATTGTCGCTGGCTTATAAAAGGGGTCTGGAATATGTTATTCTTAGATAAACTTGTCGCTTTCTTTCATGCCATTCAACACGAAGGATAGATATTTTCTAAGTGACTGGTTTGAAGCAGCCCTAAAGTTAAACAACGGGAAACAGAAACATCGCGGACAATGAAAATACATTTATTACAAATAAAAACACTAGCAAATATTAAGATCATTCGACTTACCTCATAGTCCATTGCAAGCGGCGTATGCGACGTGTCCTCGTCATCACAATGTTCCCAGCGGCTCCAACAGCGTCGCAAATTATCACCAGCACGCGAACCCCATCGAAGAAGTGTAGACCATTCGTAAACTTTAATACGTTCCACCAACTTTTCGTAAGGTATAGAATCCTCGAACTGAGAGAAGAGTTGTATAGAAGGATTTTGGATATTCCGAAGAGTGCATTTATTGTGGGACTCGTAAAAGGCACCCAGTGAAGAAACCGCTAGTTGAAGGATCCGTGATATGCGACAGAGGAACGTTTTGCGTGCAGGATAGATATCAGATTTGTTACAACCCAAGAAATTTAGTGCTTTGGTAAGTTCGCCGTTGAACAGCTGGAATCTATGAACTCGAGCGAAGCGATTTCCAGCAAGAAGAAGGAACGCGAGTACATTCAACACAGATAGATCCATGGTGTTTTGCTGAACAAGCAACTGTATAGTCAACTTGAGCTGGTCTTCCATGAAGCTTTTCCACTCTCTTGATGGCACCATTTCGATACGATCGAAGTCGGAATCTGTCCGTTTAAACACCTCACAAATGAAGCCAATGATCCACTTATCCAGGGGAGACCGATCACTTCGGAAGGGCCACACTAGCCAACAAGTCATTCTTCTTAAGAGAGCGAAGCAATGTTCAATATTATGTGCATACAGATTGGCCAGGGATTCAAGAAAAGAAGCCACGGGTGTTTGGTTATTGACTGAATCCAGACGAAAGAGCAATGAGGCCAAAGGTAAGTACGCAGTCTCGATGGAAAATGGTTCCGCCATGAGCGCTTCTACTTTTCGATAAATAACCTCTGATATACTCTTCCGGGTGATTTCGCAAGATACAGTGTGCGCTTCACTCACTGAACTGTTCAGCGAAGAAAATCGGATCAAGAGTTCGGCATTGATGAACGATAATTCAATTACGTCGCTGAAATAGATGCTGTCTTTCTTAATTGTGGCCAATGGAACGTGACTAAGGAAATACAAGATACTGTGTGCTAGATCAGATAGATGGTCAAATGACAATTCTGTTAAGAGAGCGGTTAACACCCCCACAAGCTGCTTCACTTTGGTGAATACTACGTCCAAAAATACTTCATGACTGGTGGAAGCCAGCTTGTCGAATGACCCCAGAAGGCCTATAAATGTGCGTGAAACACTCTTTCCGTTACTTTTTATATGCTGTATGTATGAGTCCCATTTCCTTGATTCACACAGTAATCCGATAAAATGGGCCTTATCAACACTCAAAGCACTTCCTCCTTGATATACCAAAGAAACAAACATCTTCTGAAGGAATTCCTCAGGAACTTTACATATTACAGCTCGGATTATAGACAAAAGTTCATCCTGAAGAGATTTGAGTACCATCGAATCAGAATCAATGAATGGAAGTAGTGCATCCGACAAACTGAAAAGCTGTTCAGAAAATTCGGAATTCTTCACAAAGAGAAGACAGTTATGCAGCACCTTTTGTTGTACATCCACAGTTGTTTGACTGCGAAGAAGTGTAGCGATGACCACATCCATTTGTTCAACAAGAGAATAATTCGGACCCGGTTCCGTATGAGTGCACCTCTTTCAGGTCGGGTCAGTTCAGTTCAGTTTGCACAGGACGATGTGTGACCCGGGCCAATCTTGCGTCCAGATTGGTGTGTTGTCGGCTGTTCTTGTGGCTTCCAAAACTGCGAGTCAATAGATTTTTCTGAAAGGCAGAAAGTAAGGTGCAGTATCACGTCCTGGGTAATGGCACTCAGGAATAATAGGTACTTACCATCCAACTGCTTCAGGGAAGGTAGAAGCCCAACAGTC